GAAATCCTTTCTCCCAACAGAATGCTTCACAGTGAGGCTGACTTTAGCCATCAGATGTGGCCATTACATGAAAAAGATCCAGAGTTCGTAATGCAGTTTTATAATTGCGTATAATTGCACTATTCATTTTCCTAGAATTTTAATAAGCTGCCAGTAAACAAGCACATTTAAAATTGTGATAAGAATCATTTCATGTTATCTTAACATTTAGGCATTTTAATTACATGGGAGACTTCATACTCGAGTATGCAGAAACTGGGCCAGTGCTCCTTATTCTGATGATTTTTATTAATTTGTCTCTGAGATAAACAGCTAAAATTTTGACATGTGCTAAAACCTTCTATAAATAGTTTGGGGAATTACTTGGCAGACCCTCTTCACATCGTAAAATCACATCGTAAAATCTGGTGCATGAGTGAATTTTCAGAAACTATCTGAAGTAATAGGGCTGCAGGTGGTGACAGCAGGGGAGCGCAGAGGTCGAAGACTGGCATTTGGGCTGCGGTTGCCGTTGGCAACTACATTTCAAGGGCTATCAGCATTTAGGGTAGCCCAGCTTTTCCTACTGTCTCCTTCAACAACCCTTCTCGATGCTTTTGTGAGCTTTCTGGGTTCAAGATATTTCAGTGGGAGTCTGAAATATCAGAGAAGCACACTTTGGAAACAAGCAGCCAGATACAGGAAGGATGGGAATTGTGCACATGAAAACTGGAGTGATTCCTCAATAGGAGAAGATAGAGACACAAAGATTCTGGCCTGATACTGAAGCTTTGGGACTATGTACATAGAATTAATGAGCTAGTTGCCACGTGTAAATCTTGCTTAAAATTTGTCCTGATATTTGTTGTGAGATGAACTGTACAGAAACTGGGAAATGTTTATTTTTATTTTTATTTTTATTTTCTAGACAGGAAACATATTCTCATATTCCACAGTCTCAGCAGCTGGCAATCTGCCACTCCCATTTGGTACTTGTGTACCATGTACATTTGTTCTGACTTCTTATGAGATGTCCTATAACTTATTTGGAGTTAAAGAGGCAAACGCTAGCACTTGCAATGTGTGGTTCTGAGTTTAGAAATCTCTAAACTCATAATTGGAAAGAACAAGAGAAGAAAAGTGCTATTCGTCGTGCACCGGGTGCTCCTTGTAAGTCACAAAAGAAAGCTACCAACACATAGGTTGGTGTGCCGAGGCCCTCAGGGACTATGTCCCCCTCTTTCTCTGGTGTTCTGTAGTGCTGAAACTTCCTTTTATCATGAGCATTACTCATTTAAAGAGGATGTGCAGCATAGACCCCAGGGGCTTCATATCTGAGCACACACTCTGAATATATAGTGACAGCGATGACAGGGAGCCATGCACAGAAGCTTTCCTTACTGAGGCCACACAGAGACTCTTGGGAGGATTGGCTGATGACTGAGCATCTGAGGATTTCTGTTTCAGGTTTTTAAATGAAATAAATCAAAAACACTTCAAAATCTGAAACATAAATAACAAAATTTAAAAACTCTATAAAGTGCTGTAATTGCAAGGTGATATTGTGTGATGAGGACCTTTAGATAAAGACAAGCCCTCTCAAAATTTCCTCCAAGGATGGTCGCAGACATTTTTAAAAAAGCCTCCTTAGAAAACAACAGTGCCAGGTGGACCTTAGTTGTAGAAATCTTCAGCAACTCAAGCAGAAATGAGAAGCAAACATACATCAAAAGGAATAACTCATCAATTTAAAAATTAATTTTAATATTTATTATTCATTTCTAAATTGTTTAAACCTTATAAATGAGCATCTATATCACTCCTGACTCTGTCTTCCTCCAATTCTTAGCATATGTGAATGTTTACAATGTGAACGTACAGGTAGTTTTTCATTTTCCCAGCTATAAAGGACTGTTGTTTCTTATATGGGTATTTGGGGGGATTTTGCGAAGAACTTGAATTATCTCCATAACCTCAATTGCAAGCTCTTTATCTGACTGGTTTAGACTCTAATGTAAATTTTTCTTGCCGTTTGCTTTTCATGCAGTTAAAATGTTATCGTTTTCCATTTTCAGATTATTTTCACATATAATAATGAGAGTAGTCATGACATGGGCAATGGCCATATTTCATATTAGAGCTCAGGGACACTGTGAGGTGCATCATGTATGGGGAGGAGAAAGCATATTGGACAGAACCCTCAAAGCAGATTGGCACAGCTCTGGGGACGGTGGCAGATAAAAAACACATGTCTGAGCATCATAGTTTTCTTTTTGCTGTTATAATCCCATTGGGTTCTAAAAAACTGATCCTAACATGACACCTTTATTTTCCTTGCTCTTTTTTTTTTGTCAAGCCATGATAAGTATAACATCATAACATTCTCCTCAACAGGCGTGGGAACAAATGTGCTTGACCTGGTTTCTGGGGGCAAAGCCATCTACCTGCGGCCTTTTTTTTTTTTTTTTTTTTCTGAAATACCATTAACCCTTTAACTTTTGTTTGTTGTCCTTGTTAAAAGCTATAAGAAATGGCCGTATTTTTTAAACTCCTAATTGCTTACGTATCTCAGCAAATGTCTGGGTGGATTTTGTTTCCGGTGATTGCGGTGTTGAGTTGTGACTGTAAGGCTATGCTTCCACTCTTGATGGACTCTAATCTGGAATGACTGCTGCCTGTCCCCACCTCAGTCTTCAGTGCCATGCACATACATGCATTGGGTGGATATCTCTGTGCCTCTCTAGAATGTTCAGGATGCTTAAGGAATATTTTGCAGCTAAGTGATAGTTTGTGTATTGGTTCTTTTTCCATCTCTGTGACGAAAACATTTGACATGAACAACTTAGGAAAGGATTCATGGTTTCTGAGGCTTTCCCTCAGGAGCTTGGGCAGAGCACCACAATGGAGACTTGAGCAGCACACCATGTGTGGGGGCCTATGGTGGATGCTGGGGGGAGTATGGTTATTTCACCTCCTGACAGACCGAAGCAAGGAAAGTAGCTAGAGGAGATAAAGCTCTGAGGACTTGCCTCCAGTGACTCACCTCCCAGGGAGGCCCTTCCCCACACCTCTCACCGCCTGTCAACACAGCCATCACATGATGATCCTGTCTTGGGTTCAGTTCATTCATTAGGTTAGAGTCCTCATCATCAGACTGTCTGAAAACAGACAGAACTGCCTGTGTGCTTCCTGTGTCCATAGGTTTCTTATCCAGCCAAGTTGACACTCAAAATTAACTATCACAGTACATTTACATTAGGAACATGCAGTCTTGGAAAAGCTTAGCTGTGGATGACAGGGATGTATTTCTGGTTAAGCTTGAACTGTTGACTAACTAGGACATTTGACCACAAGCACAAAAGAGCGGTGACTTTTTGATATGATATTCCGTCAAACCATTTTCCTACATGACTATTTCCAGCACTTAGAACTAACCATTTTCTTGGCTCCCTTGTGTATTTTTTCATGGCTATTTTATGTGCATTTTTGTCTTGTTTAAGCATCTCATATTTCTTTACATTTAACGGACATTTGTGTTTGACATGACAAGGGTAATTATTTGATGTTTTATTCTGTAACTCATTTCACTGAACACATGAGCCCGCAGAGGTGCTTGTGTTTTATATATTGTGATTTTGATGTTGTTAATTCGTGTTTCCTTTATCTATGAGACTTCTCTGAGCCCTTCCAGAGAGAAGTTATGCCTTTCTCCATCAGGCCTCTTTAATGATTTTAAACTCCATTTTGGATTTTTCCATCTTACATGGATGATGTAAATTTTAGCCTTCATGTCATGGAAGTTGTTCTCCTAGTTTGGGTTTGACACCCTGTCCCAATTTACCCTGACTCCCATGATATCCATGTAGTTAAGTTTCTCCAGTGTCTTGTTGTCCATCCTCCCCACGCCTCCCCCCCGAACTCATAAAGGAGTCTTTGCTCCAATCCTTATGCACTTCTGTGCTTTAAGGTTAGGTTACATTTATTTATGTGTTTGCGTGTATACACATGTGTTCAGCAGAGCCCCTAAAAGCAGAAGTCGGATGGAGTACCATTGGCAAATGTCGGGTGTCTTCTGCAGAAAGTGGGTTCTGGGGATCAATCTCAGGTCATCAGGCTTGGTGGCAAACACCCGCTGTGCCATGTTCTCAGCTCCCTTACTTACACTGGTCCTAAGCTTGCCTTCAGCCTCTGCGCCTGCACACCTGGTACCCAGCACCAAAACTGTCTTGAAACCCCATCGAGGGAAGCGAGTGTTAGTAACTCACTTGAAATTTATTTTCTCAATGTTCTTGGCCCCTGGAGAATTTCTCTTTCTTGTTTTCCAGAAGTGTATGCCTTGAAAAGAACAGAGAGGATCCTTTATCTTGTGTTTATAAAACACTGGGGGATATCTGCAGTTGAGGATCCTGTGAGAAACAGTCAGCTCAGAACTGGCTGTGTGAGGCAGTGCTGGGCCTCACTCGGGAAAGCATGGCCATCCTTTCAAGTAATAAAAAACAGACACAAGCCAGTCTCTGCTGTTTATCTGGATGTCCTGATGGCTGGCGTTTTCATGGTGACTGAAATTCCTACAGCCTCTAGAGGTTCTGATCTGTGACAGAAAAATCACCCAGGACTTACTGACTTTATAGAAGCTCCTAGCTCTCCCTACTTCCATTGTTCTCTCTCTCTCCACACACACATCAGCCGTGAAATACTACAATTTTTTTTTTTTTAAATCAGGCTTAAATGATTAAAGTAATTGGTTTAGTTTCTCCTCCGCTCTCCAATCTCCTTCTGTTTCCCTAGCTTGGCTCTCCATCTTGAGCTTCCTGACCACCCCTGCGCTGTTCCTCCCGTATTCCTCTCTCCCCTCATCCATTCCTCCTCTTTTTCTCTTCCCTCCCTCCCTTCCTCCCCTCTCCTCCTCTCTCCTGCCCTCTTCTTTGATCTTCTCTCACTTCCCCTGAGGTCTCCTCCCTCCTGCCTTTTATTGTCCGGTTCTGTGATCTCTCAGAACCTGTGTATTCTGTCCCCCACAGGTGGTTTCTCTGGGCGTCACCACCTTCACCTTGTGTGCTCTGTGCATAGATCGCTTCCGGGCTGCCACCAACGTTCAGATGTACTATGAAATGATCGAAAACTGTTCTTCCACCACTGCCAAACTTGCGGTTATCTGGGTCGGCGCTCTGCTGCTGGCACTTCCGGAGGTTGTCCTCCGCCAGCTGAGCAAGGAGGACTTGGGATTCAGTGGCCAGGCTCCTGCAGAACGCTGTGTCATAAAGATCTCTCCTGATTTACCGGACACCATTTATGTTTTGGCCCTCACCTATGATGGCGCAAGGCTTTGGTGGTATTTTGGCTGTTACTTTTGTCTGCCCACAATTTTCACCATCACCTGCTCTCTCGTGACTGCTCGGAAGATCCGCAAAGCGGAGAAGGCCAGCACGCGTGGGAACAAGCGGCAGATCCACCTGGAGAGCCAGATGAACTGCACAGTGGTGGCCCTCACCATCTTATACGGCTTCTGCGTCATCCCTGAGAACATCTGCAACATCGTCACTGCCTACATGACCGCAAGCGTGTCCCAGCAGACCATGGACCTCCTGAACGTCATCAGCCAGTTCCTCCTGTTCTTCAAGTCCTGCGTCACCCCCGTGCTCCTCTTCTGCCTGTGCAGGCCCTTCAGCAGGGCCTTCATGGAGTGCTGCTGCTGCTGCTGCGAGGGGTGCATCCAGAAGTCTTCCACGGTGGCCAGCGACGACAACGACAACGAGTACACCACGGAGCTGGAGCTGTCGCCGTTCAGCACTATCCGCAGGGAGATGTCCACCTTCGCCTCTACGGGGACCCACTGCTGAGGGACCCGTTTGGTCTGCTCCGTCTTCGATTTTCATAGCCCATGGAAAGTTTTATTGCGTATTTTTCCTCACAGGGGAACACAAATGTTTTGAAAAGCAAGTAGAGGAAGACATATTAACTACTTTAGTACTGATTTTGCAAATTAATATTTGTGCTCTGGGAAAAAAAAAAGTTTCTATTTAGATATGTACGAAGAAGGTGGCCAATGGTCTCAGATCATTTTTCCTGCTGTGGTGCTAATATTTTATTCAAAAGTTACTGCACCTTAACAATATTAACTGTTGGATTTCTTTCTTTCCTTCTTTCAGAAACATAATGGTTGTATATTGAAGGTGGGTCTGGGATTTTGCTAGTTATTTTGTGTTCGAGTTGTGATTGAAAATACATTGTATCTGAGACGATCTGTTCTTCCAGCCATGCCAAGTAGCATCAAATAAACTACCCATCCTTCTTTAACATGACTGTCAATCTACTTTTAACCAAGACTCAATAAATTTTTTAATTGCCTTAAATACACAATTGCTGGTCTAATGCACAATTTGAAACTGGCCTTATTGTTTTATAATTACATCTTCCACTGCAGAGTATAACTATACATCTATCACTATGTTATGAAGAAGTTTTTCCAATAATGCTATTTATATGCATAACTCATAAAACTATATTGTACATTAAAATGAAGTTGTATTTTTTTAATATTCACACATAGCTGTAAAATCATTTCTGCACATTTTTAAAAATATGAATAGACGGGAGAGTAGGTGGAGAGTTCTCTCTTTCTGCCTGTCTATTTTAGATCTACCTTTGAGCTGGCACAAAGGGACAGATTTTCCCACGAGGAATGTGGGCAGAATGAAGACTGAGAAGAAAGGTGCTTGCTATCTGATTCTGTCCACTGAACAGTAGTAGCCTCTGAAGTTTTGTGCCTCATATGTGAAACACTCTGAATTCGAACAATTCTTCTAGATTTTTTATTTAACTTTTAATTTTTGTTGAGAATTTCATAGCAGAACTCTTTTACAACCATTTCCAACTCCTCTCACGGCTCTCTCAAAACCATACTTGAAAAATGAACCTAATTAAATCTCTATGACGAGGTGTTTTTTTTTTTTTAATGTGGAATAAAAGTACAGCTATATAATAATAAAATATGTATATATCTTGGTTAGAGTATGTGAATACTCAAATGCCACCTTTAAATGGAGAGTTAATAAACTCCCTGCACCCCCAAATCTAACTCTCCCCATTTAGTTGATTGAGTCACATGGTCTGTGGCCTGTGGCCCACACATCTGGATGAGATGGCAGGCTCTGGCCTGGAGATAAAGCATTTCATTTTTAAAGCTCCAAGAAGAGATGGGTGGTTGAATGCCTGTGCCTTCAGCAAAACAACAGGGTTAGGAGCCCAGTTATCTGCTTAGAAAGTGTTTTCTACCTGACAGTTTCTGTGCTTTTTTTTTAGCATGACTAAATCAGTGCCCTGGATGCTAGCTTGGTGTTATTTAAACCACTGAAGTGCAGTGGTAGAAAACTTAAGAGATTCAAGCCAAGCCATTTATGTCCCTGATAAACCCAGGTCAGCAGAAAACGACTTTCTTTTACCTTCTTATTTCCCCAGCCCAAGTTTTGTGATAAGAATATTTCTCCCACTGTCCAGGGATTTAAGGGGAGATTTAAACAAGGGATCATTGTCTTCTGACAATAGTAGAAGTCCTTTGGAAAATTCCTCAAGGAGACATCCAAGGACACCTAGGCTTGGGTTGAAGAGAAGGTGGGCAACTCTGGTTCCACAGTTTTCCCCTCAACACATAGATGGCTGCATACCTGAGAAACACGTTCCATAGAAGATTCTGTGCTACAGCTTGCAGTACCTGTGAGTAAGACTCATTCTCAGACTGGCCAAAATTCAAGGAGAGGTGGATGTGTAGAAAGACCCAAGAGAAAATATGCGCAACTATGATAACTGATAACTGCTGGACGAAATTGGTAGAGTCCTGTAACCATTCACAGGAGAGACAGAAGTCAGCCTGGAACAAAACAAGAAAGCCTCTGTGTGATATCTGGTGGGTACGCCTGTGGAAGGGGTTGGTGGAAGGTTGGGTGTGTACCGAGTCCAAGTGGAGGGAGACCATTTTCAAAAGACTATAATAAGAAACCACTGGATGTGACTGAGTCATGAGGTCACATGACTAGGTCTAGCTCGGCCTTTGCACTGTGTCTACTCTGAAACTGCTTTGATATGGATTTGTTTAAAGGTTTTTCTCAAAGCTTCATGGATTAGAAGCTGTTTTAATGTGGTAGTAGGAGATGGTAATCAGGAGGTAATGGTCAGGGGGAAGTGAGCAGATCACAAAAGGCAATACTGTCATGACTCATGATGTTCATGGAATTTCTAGTTCCCACAAGCCCGGAGTAGCAATGAAAATGATGAATGTCTTCTTACGGAGAAAAATCACATGATGTGTTTGGTCTTCTCTGCTCAACGTTTTTCTTCTTCCTTCCTTCCTTCCTTCCTTCCTTCCTTCCTTCCTTCCTTCCTTCCTTTCTTTCTTTCTTTCTTTCTTTCTTTCTTTCTTTCTTTCTTTCTTTCTTTCTTTCTTTCTTCCCTATGGTAGCATGTGGTGAGGCAGCATGGGAACTTCACCAGACAGATGGATGAATGAGCCTGATCTAGAACTTTTACCTCCAAAACTATATATAATCTGAATAAACCTCTTTATGAACATTCAACATATAGCATTTTATTGTAGCAACAACAAAGCTACACAGAAGACTTGTGAGAAATTAGGATGAATATTCACTGAAACAGTTTAATAAGAGTGCTGTTGTGACAGATAAATGTCAGAACTCTAGAACAGGAAGATATTTGTAAACATTTTAAGTAGACTGATGGGAGAATGTGTGGACATGAGAAATCAACTAGACAGCTATAACATGTTATTGAACTACAATGCAGACAGTGAAACTAAAATTTATATAATAAATAATATATTACATTTTAAGTTATAATATAATATATTAAATATTAAATTATATTATAATGTTTAAATGATATATTGTATATTATATTTATAAAATTTTGTTAGATTTTTTGTAATCTAAATTCTATCCAGTGGTATACTCTACTCATTAAGAGAAAAAGAAAATTCACTCAGAATTTAATGTAACAAATTCATCAAAACTCTAGGAATGGTGTTGGGTTACTTAAGAATAGAATTTTTACTATTTGACAATAGATAATGAAAATACTGTCAAATATATATATACATTTGAAACTAGATATCATAATAAAATAATGTAACACTTTTTGATGATTTGCAATTCTAAAACCTTCAAACTCATGACTTTAATATTTTAGCCATTTATGAAACCGTATTTCATCCAAGGTTAGGCAGTGAGAACCATTTCATTTCCTTTAACCTTTATATTTTTTGCATTAAATAAAATTGAACGTGATAGAAGTGCATAGAAGATTGTGTAGAAAATGACGAATGAGCATGAGAAGGGGAAAGCCATGTCTCCCTCTGTGAGGGTCAGAGGCTAGAGGACAAAGTAAGTCATTCATTTTTCCACTTTTTCAATGAGTTACTTGCTAAATACCATAAATGCATTTATGTTATTTTAGCAAAACCATGAGGCTTCTTTTAAAATATATTCCAAGTAATTATTTTGTCATTACTTGCCTACTTTTAATAAAATTAGAACTAAATAAAATGCAGTTTCACTAAGAGTTTCTACAAATTATGGTGAAATTAGCTCTACAATGTCATTAAAGACTGTGGATGGAAATGAGTGAATGAAGATCACTGGAAAAAAACAATTTCATCACACTTAATCCATTTATTGGACGGGTGCCCGTGAGTATTGTTATACTTTATGCACTGGTAGTGTAGGTGACGCTGTAACCAAATCTGTAAAAATCTCTGCCTACTCTTGGCGAAGCAGATACTCTACTAAACATAGATTGACAAAATACATGTTTAATGAGAAGTACTTTGGAAGAAGAGAGAGCAGGTCAGAGCTGATCATGAATGTTGTGTAATTGCAAAAGTGACATTACAGTTAGGTTCTGAAGCAAGCACGTGGTACAGCTATGAGAAGTTGGGGTGAAGAAGCAAAAATAAATGCAATACAAGCACTCTGCCACAGGGACATATTGAACAGGTTTCAGGGATGTAAAGTGGCCAGTGTCATTGGAAAAGATCAAGGAATGGGAAAAAAGTTGTAGCTGAAATTAGAGTGCCAAACAGGCATTCTGAGCTATTTTAATGGAATTCCCTTTTTATTCCAAAGACAGATCTTCAACATAATGACCTCCCCCTCCCCAAATAGCGTGCCTTAATTGTAATATTAAAATGTATTATTTTCATACAATAAGTTGATGTCATTTAACATGCATGGCTACATAACCACTATCACCAGTATAGAACAATTATCATTCCTGAAAATTCCCCGTATTTCTTATAGCCAATCTTATTCTACCTCAATGAACTATTCTCTATTTTTAAAAGTTTGCCTCTTCAAAGGGGCCATAAAGATGGTATGAAGAGTATGAGGCTACAGTCTGGCTTTTTGCCTTGCAATATATTTCATATTCATGTTGTTGATGTCAGTCATATCTTTCAGTTGCTGAGAATTATTGTATATATCACAACGTGCTTATTTCATTCCTACTTGAGTTACATATAAGAAAGCTTTTCATTACTGCAGCAAAACCACTGGAAGCAATCAACTTAAAAAGAGGAAATGTTTATTTCAGCTCCATGTCTTGAAGAGTTTAGTTCACACTTGATTCTGTTCCTCCTTGACAAGGCAGCATATCATAACTCAGACATTTATACATTCATAGGGGAATTTCCACATCAGAACCATGACAGGACTCCTTTTTGCTATTTCAAAATTTGATTACAAAATAACCAAATAGTCATGTACATTTTTACATGAAAATGAGTTTTTATGTCTCTGGTGAATTACTAGAAGTAAGTATTTGGAATGATATGATGTGCATGTATTTTAAATTTCTAAAACGTTGCCAGTTGTTTGTCCAAGGCACTGTTATCTGGCGATCCCATAAGCACTGTGTGAGAGCTCTGCTTCCTTCACATTGTCAGTAGCATTCAGTACTGATGACTCGTTAGTTTTGCTAGTCTTGTATGCGTAGTGTCTAACCTCTCTGTTGCAGCTCTCTAGTCAGCTGTACTTTTTTAAAAAATTAAGCATCGTGAAAGCTGAAGGACTAGACTAATAAATGCATGTTTACTGTTTATCTAAAACCATTTTTCCATTTACCAAATTTCAGAGCTTGTTTACCTTTTTTTCTCACTTGAAAAAAAAAAAACAAACACAGCAGACATTAGTAATTCCTCGTTGAACAGACAAGTCAACATGTTGTCTATTGGGAGCAAGTTTGTTCGTTTGTTTTCTGATGTAGCATTATTATCAGAGTGAAGAAATGAAAAAGTAATCTTATTTGCCAGACATAATTGTCGTTTCAGAGGTTTACTGCTGAATAAGTTCGTCCTTTCCAGCTCTTTCTAAATTCTAGCTGTCTGGTTCAACTCGGCTGTTCTGGCTCAAGCTTCTCTCCGAGGTGACTGATTCAACCTGGCTTCTCTCCACTTCTCACTGAATTGCTCTACTTGGAAAAACTGCCTCTGAGCTCCACGAACTGAAATGCCCAAACTCAACTGTACTTCCAAACTCTACTGTACTCTACTCTACTCTCCATGAATTCTACTATATTCCTCTACTGTACCCTCTTCCTTCTGTACTATCTGTCTGGCTTCTATCTTCCTCTCCATTGTCTCTGACACACTCTAACATCAACTCTCTTTCCCATGCTGTTCTCCTGAGAGTTGGGCATATCCTATCTCTGACTCACTCTGTAAAATATTTCTTTGTCTGTCCCTCAATCAGACTTCATTTTCAAACATGGTTGCTTCCTTCTACAAACTAACTTTACCTACATTGTTTGGGATTAAAGGTATGTAATAAGGGTGTTGTCTGTATTCCAGACAGAGGGATTAAAGGTATGTTGGATTGAAATTTGGCTACAA